TCCAAATGCCATCTACAAGTTTGCTGATAACACCACCATTGTAGGCCAGATATCAAACAATGATGAGACAGCATACAGGAAGGAGATTGAATGTTTGGTGTCGTGGTGCAAAGATGACAATATCTCCCTCAATGTCAGCAAATCTGAAGAGCTGATCATCAACTTCAGGAAGAAAGGAGGAGAACACACCCCTATCTACATCAATGGAGTTGAGGTGGAGAGGGTTGAGAGCATCAAATTCCAGTGTGTGATGGTAACCAACAATCTATCCAGGACCACCCACGTAGATGTGAAGATCATAAAGGCACAACATTGTCTCTTCTTCTTCAGGAGACTAAGGAAATTTAGCATGTCCATAAGGACCCTCACCAACCTTTACAGATGCACCATAGGAAGTATACTATCTTGGGTGCATCACGGCATGGTACAGCAACAGGTCTGCCCAGGACCGTAAGAAACTACAGAAAGTTGTGAACACAGCCCAGACCATCATGCAAGCCAACCTCCCATCCATTGATTCTATCTACACTTCATGTTGCCATGGAAAAGCAGTCAACATCATCAAAGACTCTTCCCACCCTGCCTATAATCCCTTGCAACTTCTCCCGTCAGGCAGAAGATATGAAAGCTTAAATAAATGTACCAATAGGTTCAGGCTTCTTTCCCACTGTTATTAGACTGCTGAATGGACCTCTCTAATTTCGAACCTAATGCTGATCTTACTTTTGTACAACTTCCGTGCAACCGTAAATTTGTACACCTTGCTCTGTTCACCCTGTGGTCTGTATGTTATGATCTGCCTGTACCTGCACGCAAATCAAAACTTTTCACTGTATTTGGGTACATATGACAATAATTCAAGTCAAATTTGCTCACATGATCCTGTATCTGCCAAAATTTTTCCTACTCATTTAATCTATCTATATCCTTTGCACACTCTTTGTATCCTCCTTACAACTTGCATTCTTGCCAATCATTGCATTGATAGAAAATTTGGCTGCAGTACTGCAGCACAATCCTTTCATCTAAATCATTAATATAGATTGTAAATAGTTGATGAACAGCACTAATCCCTGTGGCAGTCCATTCAACCTGAAAATGACGTGTAAAGGTTAAGTGGCTTAAAATTTCTTGCTTTCCATCTCCCTGCTTACTTGAATAGAGGTGTTAAATTCTGGAATTTTCCAATCAGCTATGACATTTCCAGAATCTAAGGAATTTTGGAAGCTAACAACCAACTAATCCAGTATCTCTGCAGCCTTTTCTTTCATGAGTTTGTGATGCATGTCAACAGGTCTTTAGTTTCATTAATTCTATTACTTTTTCTCTGGTGATAGGGATTGTTTTACTCTCCTCTTTCCCTTCTGGTTTTGATTTTCTTCTAATCTCGGAATGTTTCTACTGTCTCGTCCTGTGAAGGTGGATTCAAATTCTCTGCAATTTCCTTGCTTCCCATGATTAATTCCAAGTCTCACCCTCCAAAGAACAAATGCTCATTTTTGTTAGTCGTTTCCTATTTATATACTTAAAGCAGAAGTTACTGTTTGTATATTTCATGCTGGTTTTCTCTCATACAATTTACCTTCTTTTGTCATCATTTCCTGCCTTCTAAAATTTTCCTAAACTTCTGCCCCTCCACTTACCTTTGTAGTATTGCCCATCTTTCATTTTGATACCATCCATAACTTCCTTAGTTAGCCACAGATGGTGCATTCTCCTTGTAGACTTTCCCAATGAAATATATTGTTGATGACATTTAAGAATTATCACCTTAACAAAGAACAAAAGAACAAAGAAAATTACAGCACAGGAACAGGCCCTTCGGCCCTCCAAGCCTGCGCCGATCCAGATCCTCTATCTAAACCTGTCGCCTATTTTCCAAGGATCTGTACCCCTTGGCTCCCAGCCCATTCATGTATCTGTTTAGATACATCTCAACTGTTTGCCATTCTTTCCCTGACATCTTACCTTGAAACCTATTTTCCCATTCCACTTTAGCCAACTCTATCTTCTTAAGAGATAGTAGGAACTGCAGATGCTGGAGAATCCGAGACAACAAGGTGCAGGGCTGGATGAACACAGCAGGCCAAGCAGCATCATAGGAGCAGAGAGGCTGACGTTTCGGGCCTAGAAACCTTGTGATTGCCTTTATTTAAGTTTAAGACTATAGTTTCAAACCCACATTTCTCACCATTAAAATAAATTCTATCATGTTGTGATTGCTTTTAGCAGGAGAATCCTGTACTACAAGGTCATTAATTAAACCTGGCTTATTTATGTAAAAGTATGGTATCAATTTATTTTCTAAATTTTAGATTAGGGACTACTATGGAAAAATGAAAGTTTTAAAATTAGGAAGTTTGTAAGGAATTGCTGGAACTCATTGTGTGTGATGTTTACACTGCTGCTTTGTTCAAAGAGTAGGGGCAACTGTGTGCAGTGTGTGCCTTGGCTGGTAACATGTAGCTGATTGGTTTGTGTAATTTTGACAAGTCATGAATACAAAAGTCATCAGCCTGCTGACAATTCTCTGCTTCCTGTGTAGCAGAACAGCTTTTGGGAATGAAGAATTCAGTGAGAAGACTTTGAACGGCTGGAAGGGCAGGTGATGTGAGTAGAATATCTGAAGTCTGAAGAAAGCCAGATTTTCTCCCACCTGTTGCTGTAAGCTGTTGATTTGACCAGAAACTAAGAGACCTTTTAATTAGTGTGCCTCCTGGAAAGAATTGGAAAAACCTAGAAAAAGGAGATTGAAGAACAGAAGGTCTCAGCAACCAAAAGGAACGTCACAATAAATTCTGTGGACTTGTGCTATTGAAATCTGTTTCCCAATATTTTTGTTTTCCACCCATAAAACCAATTTTTAAAATTGTTTGTGTTTTTATGTGTGTTTATTTTTTTTGAACGGGACTTAGAGTTGTTTAACTGGTAGACCTGTACATTGATCATTCATAGCCATTGATTTGTGATTAGAATTTACTTATTTGCAACAAACAGTAGTTATTGTTAAGTACAGGAACCAGGTCTGTGTTTTCTGTTAACTTGATTCCAACTTGGGGACTTTGCATACTTTGATTATATCCTCAACGTTTTTGGCAACCTGGGAGTAACAAGAGTTGAGAATTAGTGTACTTTGCCAAGCAGATCATAACGTTCTTCATTTCTAGTCTAAAATAGCTTGTCGCTTGGTTGGTTCCAAGTCATATTGTTCTCAGAAATTGTTCCAAACACATTTTATGATTTCACCGTCTGGTTTACATTTTCCAATTTGATTCATCCAATTTATTTTAAGTTCAAAATCCCCCACAATTATTGCAGTGACTTTTTTACAAGCCCACATTATTAGTTCATTTACACTCTGTCCTACGAAGTGGTTGTCATGCTGAGGGCCTATAAAGTACCGAGACAAATGCTTTAATTCATTTTATTTCTTGTCCAAGCTGATTCTATATCTTGATCTTCAGAATGAAGATAATTTATCATTGCTGTACTGAATATCCTTTATTTACAGAGCTATCCCTGCCTTTTCCTTTTTCCCAGATATTTCAACATGTCCAATACTGTTGAGGTTTTAGCTCCCAATCATGGTCACTTGTGACCAGGTCTCTGTGATGGCTATCATATCATCATAATTTACTATTAGTTGTGAAAACAACTTTTTCATCTTGTTACAAGGGCTGCGTGTATACAGATAAAGAGCATTTAATTCTGTCCTTTTGCTATATTTCCCTATTCAGACCTTATTTGCCGAGGTGCTGTTATGTTTGTATATTCTGTCCCTTCCTCTAACCTGCACTATTGTCTTGTCCTTTCTCTTTAACTTTCCAAATTTTTCTTCATGTTAATTTTTCCCCTTCCCCTCCCCTTAAAGGGTTGCTTTAAAACCCTCTGTGCAGCTCTAGTTAAACAGTTCACCAGGACACTGATCTCAGCATGGTTCAAGTGCAGGCCACCCCAATAGTATGCGTCCCTCTTTCCCAGTACTCATGTCAGTGCTCCATGAATCAGACCTTTTTGTCCCATACCAATCTTTCAAGCCACTCATTCAACTTTCTGATATTGTCCATGCTGTACCAGTTTGCTCATGGCTCAGGTAGCATTTCAGAGATCATTACCCTTGTGATTCTGCTTCTATTTAAATTTCGCCCATAGTTGCCAATACTCCCTTAATATATCCTCTTTTTAGTCCTACCTGTGTCATTGGTACCCACATGACCATTCCAACTGAATATTTTGCCTCTCACTTACAAATTCCTCTCCAGCCCTGAGGCAATCTCCTTTTACGTGGCACCGGGCAGGCAACACAGCCTTTGACACTCAGTTTTTGTTGCAGAGAACAGTATATATCTCGCAACCATGCTGTCTCCTACGATAACTATATTCCTTTTTACTCCTGCCACTTGACTGCCCTATGGTGTGTGGATAATTTACTCATCATCTTTGCAATCCCTACTGTCATCCAAACAAGCTGAAAGATTGTTAAAGGTATTGGATAATTGCAAAGGCTGAGGCTGTCAATTTCACCTTGTCCCTGACCACAGACCAATCTGAAGAGCCTAGCCTAGGTATGATTACCTCCTGAAACAAGTTGCCCAGATAAGTTTACACTTAGAGATTGGACTTCAGCTCATCAAGTCTGAGCCACAGTTCCTTTTCCTCTTCAAAATAAAAACAGCTTCCCTAATGTTTCTCTGCTCTTGTTCAAAATGGTGTCACGGCATCCTTTACTTCCAGCTAAGTGCAGACTATGTCATCTGAAAATCAGCATCTCTGACAGTTTAGCACTCCATTAATATTGTATTTTGCGCTTATAGAATGGATATTGAAGCCAAAACCTGCTATATCAGAAGCACATTGCAGTTGGTGATGGAATTCAGTATAAAATCTAATTAAGTATGCCAAATAAATTTTATATTAATTAAACTGTGAGCAATATCTAAGGACAGGAGATCCATGCATGATCCTTGTAATCAGCACTGATTATTATTTTTGTTTTGCAGGTTGGCCATGGATACCTGTGGCAGTTCTGGCATATTTCTACTGCTATGCCCAAGTAGGAATTGAATATGACCGAGTCAAAAATTAAATCTTCTGTTAACTGTGCTGTATTTTGTTACTCGTATAAATATTGATGGTGTTAAAAAAGAAACATGCTGTCAAATCTTTTCATCAACATTCATCAGGACAGAATCATGAGAATACCAACTCTCAAGGGCAACAGTTTATTACCTCTACCAATCAGAGTCCACTTGCCAGCAACTCAGCATCGCATGAGGTATAAATTGTTGCTCCATTTTACGGCACTGCTCAAGTTCTGTACTGTCAAGCAAGTAAAAATACTGGACTTCTAAAAATCTCCTTATTAGTTTAAATTTAAAATGCAAAACAATTTTTCTTAACTTGGATTCCTTTTGGCTGCATTGTCATCTTCGAATTTACTATCTGAGTAAATTTAATATGTGTCTCCTGCAATGCATAAGATTTGGGGAGAGAAATTCACTGGAAATGGAGCTACATCAGTTTCCTTGGCGGGGGAAGGGAAGTTTGCAGTGGATACCATCCATGACATTCTTTATTGATAATAAAGGAGAATGTGGTCAGGTTTTTGGCACTGCTTGCTTCCAGACAATCAAGTAATCGTGCAGCATTTCTGTGCAAACAAATTTGTCTCCCTTGGTGTATGTGAATTATACTGCAAAAAAAATAGTGGGGTGGGTTAGCTCTGTTGGCTGGATGGTTGAATGGCAATGCAGAGTAACACCAATGACATGGGTTCAACTGCTGCACCGTCTGAGTTTACCATGAAAAACTCTCTTTCTCAACCTCTCCCTGGCCTGAGGTGTGGTAACTGTCAGGTTAAACCACCACCAGTTGGCTCTCTCTGGGAGAGCAGCCCTATGATCCGTAGGACTATAGTGACTTTATTAGCACTCATTGGCATAACTTTTTTAAAAGCACATTGAAATTACCTGTTATTTAAATCCTTTTGGTGTCAATTAGTCAAATTAATGCAAATATATGAAATTCCCGTACCTAATATTTTACCAAAGTCTTGTCTCCTAATTTAATAGTGTTATAAAAGGCAGACAGACTGTTCAAAACACTTATTCCACGTATATATTTGAGTGATTCCCACCAAGCAAATTTTTGTACTTGCTACATGCTACAGGCTAATTTACAAAATTCAATTAGGATTCAGTGTCTGTTTTACTAACTGAGATTAATGCAGATTAGCTGATAAATTAAATCTGGTTACCTAATACCAAAGAAGATTTGAGGGGTCATATTAAATGAAAAAAAAACTGTTTATCTATAGGAATTAACCTGAACTAGATTGCGATGCAAAGCTGAAACATTGCATCATCAGTGATAGCAGGTCAAGGAGTGCATTGGCTAGACATTCACCAGCAGTTTACCTTCTTCCATATCTGTGCTTACATTTGAGTGCTTACATCACAATAGAAAAAGCACACATTCTAATGAACTAAATTTAACTGAATCACGGCAAGCTGTTACATTACATTTGATAATACAAGGATAGTTCTACCAACAAGGTAAATTTATATCAGAAATGAAAATAATATTGATCTTAATTGCAATCACGTCTTCTTTGTTTCAATAACCTCTACCTTTACATTTTGTGTCCCCTGTCTCCATAGTCATTGAAATTACGTATATGTAATCTATGCATGGTCAAACATTAGACATACATTCTTCTATCTTGAGTGTGGGTAACCAAGTCCTTGTCTTGATCACCCACACCATTATCCTTCAGTGCATTTACTCCAATCTTCAGCCCAGTGGATTTTCCCTTGCATGAGTTGACTTCTACTGAATTACATTTAGCCAAATCATCATCAGCAATGGAACCTTCTGTTACCCCTCATCACTACATTTGGAGTCATCAAGGATCACACCCTTGAGGTCAACTTCCACATGTTTACTTGTGACACCCAGCTTCATCTCCACACAGCCTCCATGTTTTCTGTGTTGTTAGACTTCTTGTCCAACAACCAGTCTTCGACACAGTTTCCATCAACTAAATCTTGGAAAGATAGAAGGCTTGTCCTCTGCCACAGCTACAAAATTATAACCATGGCAATATTTATTCCACCTCTTCTTAAGTTGAATCGGACTATGCATAACCTTGCAGTCCTATTCCACTTAGGTTGGACTGCCAATGCAAGACTTTCCTGTGTCAAAGACCACCTACTTCTAACGCTGAGCAGGATTTTCCAGATCGTATAATTTCCCACCTTGCCATCCAGAGTCAGTGGGGAATGCAGCCTGAATTCAACGTTCTGAGAAGGTTAATTTACTGGAGGTGGGACATCAAAGCTGAGGCGAGGTGGATGTGGTCCAGAGGCAGCCCCACCAGTAAATCTGCTGGCAGGGCAAGTAATGTTCTGCCCATTGTCCACCTCAAACCATTTGCTACTGGAACCCTTATCTCTGCTTTGAACCTCACAACAAAAGCACAATGAGAAATGTAAACAAATTGTTTTTGTTAATTATGTAGGCAGGAAATGCAATAAAGGAAGAGAGGCATGCTGGGGATGAAATGAAGGAATTTACCAAGTCATAACTATGAAGACAGGCCAATGAATGGGAAGGAGAATTGTCATCTGGAGAATAATGTGGGACTATAGAATAAAAAGGAACAGGAACAAAAGTCATAGATAAACCTGTTCATATTAAAAGAACATTAAAATATGACTGACAAATCTTATTTCTCCAAATCAGCTGCTTCTGCATGTGTATTTCCTCTCTTGATCCCTCACTTTTCTGTACTGTCTTTTGGCATTGATTTCATCCCAGACTTAAAGTTTAAACAAATTTTGTGATTCTAATTTAACCATAAATTTAACAGTGCCCCTTGTTGGTTGTTTAGAAAACCTTTATTTTTTTCAGCAGAATTATAGACTGCTTGAACAATTTCTCCATGAAAAAGTGTTAATCCTCTTTGTGTACACTGAGTAGATATTGTTCTGCCAGTAATGGTTACTAGTTTGCATTGGTCCATTGGATAGCTATGGCTTTAAATAGTTCTGAATATTCTTCTTCTGATTATTCTTAGTAATTTCTCACAATTCATTTGACTTTTTGTTGTATTCATACTTTTTTTAAAGAATATAGTTTTAGTCTAACTAAGGTTGAGCCATCTTTGGATGCTGTAAGTTTTATTTTGCATATAACCTGTCACAATTTATCTTACCTCAAACCTCAAAAAAATTCGAATTCATTCTAATTATATTGTGACATTATAATGTCCTGTATAGGTCCTATTATGATCTTTCTCAGATCAACTGATTAGTGTTAAATTTCCATTAGTTGTGCTGATCCTTGCAATTGCCTAGAAATTGACTGCCAAACAATGCTTGCTGTTGTAGGGCTTTTAATTGCTTCAGAATGATGTTTCTGTCTTTTTTTAGTGGACTAAATAAGGTTCCCAAGATGAAGACAGTATTTTTTATATGTCAGTGTTAACTAATGAATAACATGAGAACCATATCACGCAGCATATTGTTTCAAAAATGAAATTAAAAAAGGAGGGAAAATGTGACTATTTAATAAGCAGACAATCACTGATCTCATTGATTTATACACAAATCCAAAAGCTTAAGTATGTATAAAATATTCTTTATTGTTATAAATAAAGTTTACATGTCTTTACAAATCAAATAATTTGTGCTTCATGTTTCTTTTTTGTTACAGGAATATATTAATATATATGATGTGCATAAATTATTTTTAATTGATTTTCGGTAAATGTTGCAAAACTGGTACATATGCTACTACTGGCAGCTTTTCTTGCTGACCACAAAAATAGTTCAGTACTTTTGCCATGCTCACAGGAGTATGTGCATAATTACACTAGTGATAAAATTAAAGTAGTAGACTTGAATCAATATTGTAGGTTATCTGGTGCTTCTTTGATTTGGGAAGAAAATAAGTGAAGCACATTCCTACAGGACCCTATTTTAATGCACTTTGCAGGTTCATGCAAAAAGCCCCTACAAATAAGGAAATTCAAAAGAGGTTTTTCTTAAATATCACAATTTTCACCAGTTATTTGTAACAATGTTACGAACCTGGTTTCATCTTTAAATTGATATTTTCCCCAAAGTTCAGAAGGTTTCACTCTTTAAGGAAAAGACTTGTTCAGCAACCTAATCCACAACTTGTAACTACTCTACACAGAATTAATCAGCCTCTGAGAGTTTAATTCAAACACCCTATACATCAAATTCCTTTATGTGCATCGTCCATTGAGTTGCTAACCAGAATTTACATCGCATATTGTTAGACTTGTGTCAGTCTTCAATATGGATTACCAGCAGCAAGATTAATGCACAATTAGAAAAGTCTTATCAATTTATTTCATTGTCTAGCTTGTTTTAAGAAAATTAGTTACCTATTGTTCTTTGGAAATCACAGTTTTTAATAATGATTTCAGCTATCTGAAGTAATTTGAACGGAATTGTAAAAAAATACATATTAGAAATGATTTAAAACTTACAAAAAAATTGAACCATTTCTTCTAAGTACCTCTTATGCAGACCACACATATTGCATGGTACCATCAGCTAATTCAGTCTAGATTGATTAACAAAGGCTACTGTAGAAAAATTACATGGAAATAATTGTAGATATTTGAAAAAGACTTTAGAATAATTTAGGTTACTAGTTAATGACAATGAATTAAACCACTCATTTTCACTGACCAATGTAAACATCATTCCCTGTTTAAGACTGAATTCTTGGAGCCTGCCTAATAATAGCCTTTCAGTATTCTACGCATACAATATTGTTAACTGTGGTTCCCTGGAAAGAATTATATTTTGGGCAAACAACTTTGTATAACAGCAATGGTAGAAACTTTTACATCATTAAACCATTTAGTGAAAGACCAAACTGAAACTGAAATTTAAATTGTTGATTATAACATTCAGAAAAGCTGCCATTACAAACTTATATTGTTACCATCCTTTTTTTAAAGTAAGCTTCCTCTATGTTGAGGTATGTTACAATGTTGTTTCTATTAAAATGTTTTCTTTGAGCTGTTAATTCAGTGGATGCTCTGTTGGTCTTGAACTGTTTAACTCTCTTCTGTCTGCAGGTATCAAATCGGCACTGATTATGTTGCACTTGACATCTGTCTTATGCTGCTACTGAATGAGTTCTCCACATTTGATCTTTTACTGTCAGAGCAGCTACTGTTTACATTCATGTTTATAGTGGAATAAAATGCGTACCAATTTCATCCCATTTCACTTTTATCTTGTGTGATCAGTGGAATCATGCAGTGATGTCAAAATATGTACATCCTCTGGCATCTTTTAAATATATATACACGCAGCCATTTTTCAGCTGCCTTTATTACTGTATATTAAGTTTGGATTCTAGGAAAGTGCATCCATAAGTTGAGTACTGACATTTGTACTGTTGGATAAAAGCTAGTCGTGTCAGTGATGTCCAAATCTTGAGAATGAATTGAAAATAAAAATCTGCCTCTTTTAGCTCAACAGCAGATTAGTAGATAAACAAGAAAAAAATGGCGCTTTGAGTCTGTCACTGAAAGAAAGAAGGCTGATTTAGTGACATGAAGATAAAAATTGGCCTACAGATGTAAGTCTTTCAGAATTCAGCTTGGAAATCAATTAAGTGTTTCAAGTAGTTGTAGCACAACTACAACAGAAGAAATAATCCAGGATTTCCACTCCTGATCAGTAACTGCTATGCAAAATGTGTGTGTGTGTGTGTGTGTGTTGGGGGCAATCAGTGAAGATAAATTGAACTCAGTTTTGATACTCCTCTTAAGAGATTGTTGATACTAACTGTGTAGAGTCACTTATGAAAAATAACCACTTTGGGCAAGATACAGGAGGAAATGCAGAATGTATAGAGTCATACATCACGGAAACAGACCCATCAGTCCAACCAGTCCATGCTGGCCATAATCTCAAACTAAACTAGTCCCAACTGCCTGCGCTTGGTCTATATCCTCCCAAACATTTCTTATTCATGTACTTATCTAAATGTCTTTTAAACGTTGTAATTGTACCCACGTCCACCACTTTCTCTGGAAGTCGCACAATGGCACGACATAATTTAGTGGCTTTAAAGTGGGAATGAGCAATTTTAGAAAAAACGCAACTAAGGTGTGAGGAGACTGCAGGCAGAAACAGCAGGAAAGGGAACATAAACAACTGACAGCCCTTTTATGTTCTAAAATTGCAATTAATTTTTATCTTTGAAATTTCTGCCCCCAAAATCTTTTCTTAAAAAGTGTGCTGTTGATTTGAATTGCTTTAACAAAGCAGAGGTTAGCATGAACAAGAAGCAGGTCCAAATTCAGTTAAAAGCTGCAAAGCAGCAACATTGATATTGGTCTTCAGCTGTAACTTTCCTGTAATTAATAAATAAACAAACTTATCTTGATGTTCTGGGGGAAAAAAGCTACATGGAGCATAATGAAGTGATATGTTTTGTGTATAATCTAGAAAAAAAATGGTAAATATTGAGTCGAAAGAAATACAGTACAGATCTGTAAAATCTCCTAGAAGTTCCTTTGGTTACCCCAATTAAATAGAGAAGCTATGCAGACATTATGCTACAAAATAAAGAATCTTAAATTATCAATTTTTTCAGCAATTATCTCCATGAAATGTCATAATAAGCCTGCATGCAAAGATATTTATAGAATAATTGTTCATAATTTTATGTCATTTAAATTAATCAAAATATGCAATGTAGAAAATCAGTAAAAACAAAAGGAGTGTTCTTTAGTTGTCATTCTGTCAATGAGGTGCACATATATTTATGCATCCCTCTGAGAAATCAGAAAACGAGCAAGATCATGTCCCATCATTTCAGCACTCTGGACAGCTCATCTCTAAAGTAGATGTTTAGCAAATGACACCTGAATTTTTCCATGTTAGATTTTTGTCACTTAAAGGCTGTTCAGCTAGAACTGTTGGTCTTCCTTATCAGATTCTGGGGTTGTTGGTCTTGATATTTCAAATATTTCCTGTGGCGAATTTGAGGATCTTGCATTCAATATCCTCAGTATTTCTGAAAGTTGTTTTTCAATGTTGGTGATCTTGTTATTCAGGGACTTGATGTCCTGTTTCAGCTCACTTTTTACTTCCAAAATGGTTGCTTGAAGGGTTTGTTCAGGAATTGGATAAAAAGTGTGCTTTGCCTCCGTCTGCACAGGGCTTCGGTCCTGAGGGCTCCGTGTTTCTCCTGCGTTGTCTAATCTCAGATCGCTCTTTGTGATACCGCTATCACATGAATCTGTTTTTCTCAGAGACATCTCTTCGCGTGTTTTAGTTCTTTCTGGTAAAGTCTCCATCGATTCTGCCTTTGATACTTTATTCCAGTCTTCTGCTTTAGAAGCAGAATCTTTAAATTTTGACCAGCCCTTTCGCTTACCGGATTCACCAGATTGTCTAGCAGCTGCAAATTGCTCAGATGTTGGAGCCTGCAGTTTATCCTGGTCTGATGTCTCTGATGTCGAGGCTCTAACCACTTGTGAAGGGACTGGAGTTGCTGGACTTTCAGTTACTGTAACCACGCTGGTTGTTGCTGCAGCATTTGTTACATGGCCATCTAACTGTGCAATGCCTTTCTCTATATCATTAGCATCCTTCAATCTTTCTGCTGCTAAACGAGCCTCCTTCTGTTGTCTGAACCTTTGGAAAAGTCTGCGTACAGGATGGTCAGGAGGCAGGTTTAATGGAGCCTCATTCTTTCTCCGCATTCTTTCTTCTTCTTCACGCTTCACATCACTGATCTTCCTGAACACAATCTACATAAATGAAAGGATGAAAAATTAGAGTTTAATAATTCAGTCATAATGTGTTACAAATACATGTTTCTTCAGTCACATGGTCAATGGTTAAATCTACATTATTTCTGCCAAGCAACTATATAACAAGTTATTTTGCTTCTGTTGACTAACACACAGCACAGTGACATAAAGTCATAGCAGTATAAATTACAGCACTCCATTGTGATGCAATTATCACCCATGTCTCTTGCTTATGCACCTATAAAACAAAACTATTTTTTTTAAAAGTGGCTATCCCTTTGGCCATCAGTCTGAAACAGATAGAACTCTTAAACTGTTCTCAAATAAAGTCCTGCTTTATTTTTAAAAGGTAACATCCTAATTTAAATGTAATCAAAAATGTTGAACTGTGGTTCAAGGCCACATAAAGTTATTTTACTGAGTACTTAACAGTCTCTATCTATTTTCAAAAGGTTTTGTTTAAGTCTGAATAATTCTTTAAAAATTACTGTGCAAATTGTTGGTTCACTGAAGAATAATAGTTTGTCTGTGATTTCAGACAAAAGCTCAAACAGACAATTAGTACATTCAAAGTAAGTTTTAGTTGTGCACCAAGATCAATCAAACAATTGCATTTTTTTAAATTAATGATTTTATTTAAAGTTCTGGAGTCTGTCCTCACATCTAGGAAGAGTTTGATATTTGTCACTGCATATAATTTCTTAATAATTTCAGAAGCTAAATGATAGAAGCCTAAAGATGATGCAGGAAAAGAGAGGCTTGGGTTCTCATACATCTTTTGACTGTGGTTAGACAAAGTGATAAAGCTGTTAAAAATCTCACAGGACCTATTGCTATCTCTGCTATTCAGTCTGGACTCTGAGGTAAACGTATCAAAGTATCCACATACAGAATACTATTTACAATAAATCAACGTGGCATATACAAAAAAATAGAGGCCAGGTGACTGTAGCATCACACACAAACCAAATAAATACATCATTGATTTACTGTACCTTTAACATGAATCCAAAACTATCCAATCTATTCACTGACCACTGAACAACAAAATGAAATCGTACCATCCAACCGTACAGGTACCATATATACAATCTTCACATTGCTTAGGCCTCAGTCTTACGATCTCTTACACCATTTTTTTTGTTCATCTGGCCTTCCTTATCATGTCCAAGTATCAACAATCTTTCTGTTGCAAGTAAAAATAGGCACTTCTCAAAGGCTGTAAATGCTATCGTACAGTTCCCCAGGAGATCATGACACTTCCTTATGGATTTACCACATCCCAACAGTGGATACTGGTATTTCATTTACTTCACTGGCACCAGCTGTGTGTCTAATATTTATTCTTCTCTGGCTAGTGGGGTCCTATTAAATCTTCCCTAATATAATTACCTAATACCATATACTTATCTTTATAGCCTAATTTGTCCCATCTTACATGTACCAACACCTTTAGATTTATAAGTAGAGGAACAGGGCAGAATCTTTTCTTCTGAGTCCTGGGTACTGACTCTGATGCAATTTCTATGGGAAAATGACAATGGCCAGGGAGCACACTCATTGTCCAATTAAATAGATTCAGTAATAACTTTGAATATATATTTGAGTAAGAATAAAATTGTAGAACTATGTAGAAGAATCAGGAAATTAAACTAATTGGTTTGCTGCTTCAATGACTCAGCACAGGCTTAATAAACCAAGTGTCTTTCTGTTGAACTATCCAGCGGTTTTAAAGGAATTATATTGCACTTCTTTTGGTTTATATTATTAGATAATAATTTGCTATGCTTCATTCAAATGATGATACTCAAAATGCCCAGTTAGTGAAGTACCAGTTAATGAAGTAACCTTGAAATCAGTTCATCAAGTTCCTCAGAACATCTGGCAAGAACTATTCATTTCGATAAGCTTCAGACATATTTATGTCTGATTAAACTGCAATTTCAGGTGCAATTAAACTTTTCCAATGCCTAGAGCTGACAGCAAACATTGATGAGGTACATATTTAACTCCCACAAGCTTCCTATGACTAATAAGGAATGAGAAGGTTTGACCCATGCAACCTTCTTCTTTTCCTGTTAATTAAAGTACATTGTAAAAGTGACAAACATTTAAAATATACACCTTCATTCTTCTTATTGAGCTATGGAGCTGTAGAAGTATATTTAGAGCAATATATTACAGAAACAAATACCTTGTGCTGTAGGACTGGATTAGGAAAACCAGATTTAAGCCACAGGCATATCAATCAGCCAGAGATCCAAAACTCAACATTAGAAATGGTAATGATGCCTACATATGATGAATGATGGTGTACATTTTAAACTAACAGTGGGGACTTGGAAGAATGGGTTTTATTACTTGGAATTTTATAATTCGGATATAAGCATCAGTCATTCGAAAGATGCCATAAATACAATTGTACTTTTTCACACTATGTCCCATTCAAATTGCATAAAATTATATTCCCCAAGTAGAATAATTCCTAAACAAATATTTTATTGCAAAATAATATAAATTCAGTTCTCAAAAGTTAATTAAAGCTTGAACAGCAAAATCAAAACATAAAATAGCTGCTTCCTTTTTTTCACATTTACTTGTCACTAAAGTAGAAACAAGATGTAATATGATCATAAATAAGTGGAATGAAAATGAAGGGAACTGAGTGTTACTTTCGATATATTTCAATATCAGCAGAACTTAATTACCAGATCTATAATTTTCACAGTTCCTCAGGAGATCAATGCATGTGTAGCTTTAAAACATATTTTAAGTTGCTGGAATAAAATATATTCCTTGTCTTATTAAATGGATCTGCTTTTCTTTTAATTCTCTCGTATGAAATTGGAATCATTGGCAAGGCCAGCATTTGTTGCCTCTTCCTACTTGCTGTTGAGCTGACTGGCTTGCTAGCCGCTTCAGAGGGCATTTAGGTGTCTATAGCATCGCTGTAAATCATATATAAGACTGGTTAAAGATGGCAGACTTCTTTCTCTCAAGAAGATTAGTGAACCAGATGTTTTTATTTACAATTGTTGACAATCATAGTAACCATTTCTGAGTCTAGGTTTCAATTCCAGATTTTGCTAATTTAAATTGCACCAGCTGCCAAGGCAGGATCTTAATCCCTCTCCCACCTTTCCAGTGACAGCTTCTGGATTACTCCAGTGACGTTATCACAAAGCCACCATCTTCCCAGACAGTAGTTGTTCATATAAGCTAAATTCTGCTTAAATCTAGAATACTGTTCATTAATGTTTTTTTTATTCGCTCATGAGACAAGGAATCACTGGCTAGGCCAGCATTACTGCCCCTCCCTAATTGCCCAGAGGGCAGTTTAGAGTCAACTACATTGCTGACGATGGAGACACATATTGGCCAGACCATTACATGTCATGTAAATCAGTGACTGCTTTATTGCAGTTCTGGTCTTGCTGGAGTGCATTTCAGTTCAAATTCTATATGAAGAGAATTCATGTCATGGCACATGTGACACTTTAGTGCTGGTAGTTAGAGATAGAGGCCTTTGTTATGGTTTCTGGATCAAGCTCTTGTTTTCACTTTGAGATCCATCAATGATATACTCTGCAGTTATGGAATAATGATAATAGCACAACTTACTATCTCTCCTGACATTAACTCAATTCTCTACTGATGTTACCACAACCATTCTGATACAGACCTTTCCTAATACACAGGAGACTCTTTCTGCTGCAATGTGCCAGAGGGAAATTGGGAAGAAGAGATAGAAAAAGAACAGAAGAAACAAAAAGAAGTGAAAGAGAAAAAATAAAAAAGAATGGGAATCAAATTAGACCTTCTGCCTTAGGCTTCACAGTATTACACTCACAATATCCTGAAATTATACATAATGGTGACAGCTTTGTTTGTTAATTGACTCTCCAACTTCCTGTTGAAACAAATCTTGTTCCACATACTGGTTGACTACAGAAAAAAACTTAACACAACAGAAGCATTCTAAATTAAAAAAAAATTCAAACAACACAGGCAAAATATCTAAGTCATACACACATATATTAAAGTATCTGGATTTGCTTCTTTCTACTCAACTTCATGTGAAAACCCCATGCCTACTCCTGGTTTCTATGGCCCCAGTTTTTGTTCCCAGATTGGGTACATGGAGTAGGAGAAATCACAGCTCCATTAACAAACCTTTAAAAGTGGCTGCCCACACTCCCAATTTCAGCCTGCAGGTAGACTGGATTGGAAGTTGGACACAACAAAAAGAAATGAGCTGATGAGACTATTGGTTACAAGGCAGGCCAGAGGGAAAGCCTGCCTCAAGGTTCTAGCATTGTTCAAAAATTAAACTAAAAAAACTTTATGCCAGACCTTAGACCTGATATGCACACCACACCCCATCACCTTCATATCCCATCCATGCCAATTCATTCAACCAAAAGTCCTCTACCCATCTCCATTGGCCCCTCATATACATTATGCTACCCTATGCTTCTCCACCTATCCATTGTCCCTCATACCCATTTTTCAATATTGAGCCCCCTACACCCATGGCCTTTCATTGCATCTATACCAAATTATTGCCTATCGACAAGTATCCTTGCTCAAAACAGAACAACATAATTAGATTAGTTAAAGAATCTAAACTGTAGCTAACAGTTCATTATGAAAAGCATTGCCATTCATAAAATGCATTTCGACAGGTCTTGGTTCTTAGAGTCTTAACATGTCATGACAGTTCTTGATAGGTCTTCACACTTACTGACAGTTTGACACTTGTATACACTTCTTGACAGCTGACACATCTTGATATGACTTTTCTGAACGTATCTGTTCTTGATACTTCTTGACACATTAGGCACAATTATCTCCATTGTTGATAATTCTGAAGAGTACAACACCCCCAAACAGATCCCTGACTCCATATTCAAAGGATACATAAACCCTCTCTCCAGAAAGGTGCTGACTCCCATCCCTAAGGGCTCGAGGTGGCATTAGAATTTCCAATGTCTTCC